AGGGACTGGTGCACTTCACAAAATAGATGGCATCATGAGGAAGGAAAATTATGATGGATATATTGAAGCAACATCTCAAGACATCAGTCAGGAAGTTAAAGCTTGGTCGCAAATGGGTCTTCCAAATGGACAATGACCCCAAGCATACTTCCAAAGTTGTGTCAAAATGGCTTAAGGAGAAAAAAGTCAAGGTATTGGAGTGGCCATCACAAAGCCCCGACTTCAGTCCTATAGAAAATGTGTGGGCAGAACTGAAAAAGCGTATGCGAGCAAGGAGGCCTACACTACAAACCTGACTCAGTTACACCAGCTCTGTCAGGAGGAATGGGCCAAAATTCACCCAACTTATTGTGGGAAGCTTCTGGATGGCAACCGAAACGTTTGACCCAAGTTAAACAATTTAAAGGCATTGCTACCAAATACTATTTGAGTGTATGTAAACTTCTGACCCACTGGGAATGTGATGAAAGAAATAAAAGCTGAAATAAATCATTCTCTCTACTATTATTCTGACATTTCACAGTCTTAAAATAAAGTGGTGATCCTAACTGACCTAAGACAGGGAATTTTTACTAGGATTAAATGTCAGGAATTGTGAAAAACTGAGTTTAAATGTATTTGGCTAAAGTGTATGTAAACTTCCGACTTCAGCAGTACGTCTTCCGTTTGGGCACCAAACTTGTCCGTAAAGCCTCTCCCAACTTCGTTAGCCATGTGTTCTCACCAAACGTAGCAATAAGCTCTCTGCAAACTCGGACCCACCATGACTCCGGACTGCATTCACTTCCTGTGGGCGGACGCCAGGAAAAACAAAAAAGGGGGTTTAAATATGCACAGTTCAAATCACATGACATGTCAATTAATCAATAGGAATGCTAGTTAGATTAAACATGCAAATAAGTCACAGCTGTGACATTCTCACCCACTTAAAATGAGTGTGTCCTCGCACTGGTTGTGAAAAACACTGCACAATGGCACACGTGCAAAAGTCCATTTTACACTGGTTAGAAAAGCAAATATACACACATGAATAAATACACCCTGCATATACTCAAGAAACAAACAACAACGTCTCCCTGAAAATACAGTCCCCCAATACCGTAAGCAGCTCGTCCATTTACATTTCACTGTAATGTCAATGCACCTGTTGTATTCGGTGTATGTGGCCAATAACATTTGATTTGATTTGATTTGACATGGTGTCCTGGGGCAGCCAGGCCATTCGTCACATATCTTCATCCCCTGTTTCCTCTTCTCCTGGTTGACCTGGGGCATCAGGCTTCCGATGGCCCCAACTCCGCCTGGCTGACATCCTGACTGCCAGGAACGATGGTGTGACATCCAGCACTCCGCCCATCACCGGTCACCTCAACCCCATTGCTCAACCACTTTGAGCCACTCTATCCAGCTGTCTGCGGGCCCCCATGGCAGTGCTGACCTGTCCTCTTGCTGGCACATTCCCCTCACCTCACCAGGCCACACACCTCCAGCCATGTCCTTTGAGTCGCCAACGGGGAGACTGGTGGAAAGTGATAGGTTCTATGTCTGGAGTTCATTACCAATAGGAATGCTAGTTAGATTAAACATGCAAATAAGTCACACCTGTGACAGCTACATTGTATCAAATGTTATGTAGTTACAATGTTGTTAAAGAATACACTTCTTATTATAATCAAGAAAAGTAATTATAATCAAGCAATGTAATGTAAAGTGAAACACAGTAGGAATGACTTTTTAATTACTATGTAATTACAGTGTAACAACCTTTGCAGACAATAGGCTAACCAGGAGGTGAGCTTTAAACGTGTATTTACAAAACGTCATAGTGGAACAACAAAATGTGTAATAAGAAAATGTGTAATAACAGCTGAGGCTGCACGACAGGATCAAACCGCTTTTCCAGCCCCGAGACGGAAAAAATAACACTACTGCTTAGACTGTCTGTCTGCCCTACTGCTATTTGTGATGATGTAATAGTCATAGATATGCTTGATGTAATCGTCATTATATATACTGCCATATCGTAGCCTGAAAAGCTTTGACCGCCTGTCGATCTTGTCGTTTATAGTTACAGCAGACAAAGAAGTTTGCACAACAGGCCTTTCACCGTAAAGTAGCACATGTGCAGAAGGTACGGTTGTTTAGCTATTTGGAAGAGGATTCAAGATAATCCAGCCACGCAGCCACTCCGTAACATAAAATAGATAATTAGTAATTACACATTTGGAATAACCTTCAGCAAATGGATTTGTAATTACACAGCCCTTGTTCCAATAGTCTTATAACCGATACCGCTAAACCCTATTACCATGTAAATAGGCCTACATAGCAATTCCTATGTAACTACTATGATGTTACTAGTCATTACTGTGTAGTTACATAGTAATAGGGGAAACTTAATGTACAGCGTTACCAATCGACCCAAAATGTAAAATAAGGATGCTGATATAAACTCAGGCAAATGCTGCTGTTACTGTTGCCTCATTCATTTTAATTTACTATAACTTACTGTATGATTTAGCCAATTTAAAGCTAGGCCTGATTAGGTGGCATTTTTATCTCCTCTCTATCATTGACATCAGTGGCCAGGTGTGTTACACAATAATTTTGTGGAAATGACATCATTCAACCGACATACAGAGGCAGGATCACTTGTGTACTACGGTAAAGTCGACACACATTGTTACTCAAACCTGTTCTTGCCTCCCCAGGGTTTTGTTATGGAGCAGGTGTGTTAGCAGACGGGTCCCTGGTTGGGGCGATAGGAGGGAGTGTGACATTTAACAGAGCATTAGCCCAGCCATTTCTAGCATTACAATGGAAAGTTAATGGTACAACTACTATATTAAACTATATCAGCAGTTCTGACACTTGAAGGACAATCTGGACAGATCCTCAGGATCCCTGGAGCTCATGAATCTTGTTCTGACTGACAGTGGACAATACACAGTGACCATTATAACATCTGAAGCAGTATCAGTGGAAGAAACACCACACTGGAAGTGTCTGCGAAGATGTTTTGTATTCTACTTTTATCAGTCAATACTTTCCCCTCCATTTTCTAGCTTTAGGTTTCACATCGTCAGTCTAAATATTTGATTGTAAGGCTGAACTGCAGAAACATTTCAAAGCCATATATATACCATACTACCATACCATAACACTGAAACACCATATTTTAGTAAATGGTTTTGAAGTAAAGAACACAATTCCTCTGGCCAAATCTCAGACATATCTATGGTGGATAAGTTGATTAGGATACTGTTTGTCATTACTTTTGCATTATTAGGTCTTTCTCAAATCCAATGATTTCACTCAGTGTGAACCATTACTTCTGTCCATCTCTTCCCATTCCCTATTATTTGTATTTTTATGGGTTGTATATTACTAGTGTATGCAGTGGCGATTTTAGCATGTAAATCTTGGTGGTCCATACAACTAAAACATGTTGGATGCATGACAGCATAGCCACTACACAACACAACACCAAACAATACATTAATTGCACTATAACGGTGACTAAATGTACCCACAAACTGTTAGGGCCTACATAAAGCTGTCCCAACAGCAGAGTCCCAACAGCAGTCCCAACACCTTACCACTGCTACACCTGGCTATCAGCAGAGCCTTGTCTGGCAGCGAAACAGTTCATTCAGCCTCATTTACTGCCTTTAAAAAACAAACATAGCTGATATGGCTGACTTGCTTAAACAAATTTGGTTTCTACTGACAATTGAGATGTACAAACTATGTCATAAGGGGATGAAAAGCGGATAAGAGGCAATCCGTAATTTCGATTAAGACAATGAGCGAGCTACGACGGACGTAGTCAATACAATAATTTGTTCAGCACTTTTGAAATGTACAGCGACAGAATTCAGAACATGGGCCGTTCTTACAGTGTTCTCCCTGTACACCTAGTCAGAACCGTAGGATAAATAAAGGGGGCATATAAGCAGACAATGAAAGCTTTTACAATATTCGATGATTACATTTCTCTAAAACAGGTTATAGGCTACATGTGCACCACCAAGTCAGAACAGTAGGCGAAACTAAGAGGTGAAAATAGACCAAATTATTAGGGTGAGGCACATGGGCTACTTACAGCTTACTTCACAACATACACTTAGTATTACTTTCTTAGCTACAGTATACATTTCTCCCTGGCATCTTACATCATTTATGCAGCAGCATACAATACGTTTTTGGACTCAAGTTGTTGTGCTGTGCTCACTTGAACAGGAAGGTGGAGCGGCGGTCCTTCATGGGCAAATTTTGTCATCAAAGAAAGAGAAAGAGGCTGGATTTACAATTCCGAGTTGGATGACCGTTCAAAACATATTTTGCCAGTTGGAGCTCGTTTATTCCCGACTTCCCAGTTGTCTTGAACTCACTGGAAGTCAAGTTTTCGCAGTTCCGAGTTAACGGTTGTTTTGAGCGCTGCACAAATCATGCTTCATTGACAGCGTGACCAATGTTGAATGTTTGTCATTTTAATCTTGGAAAAGAGCCCTTTAATCCCAGATTTGGGACCACACAGAACCTCCACTGAATAGCAGGCTAGTGATTGCTTTGCAATGCTTGCAGTTAGCCACTACCACTCATTGTTGAATTTACGATTTCCAACTTGTTTATGTCCATGCTCTGTTGATGAAAATGTGTGATACTGAAGCCAAGCCCTGAATATTGTATGGCTTTGGATGAAATAGGCTACCAAGGAAAGAGAAAGATTGTTATGCTTCTAACTCGGCGGCAGGTAGCCTACTGGTTATGAGTATTGGGCCAATAACCGAAAGGTTGTTTGCTCAATTCCTCGAGCTGACTAGGTGAAAAATCTGTTGATGTTCCCTTGAGCAAGGCACTTAATCCTAATTGGTCCTGTAAATTGCTCTGGATAAGAGTGTCTGCTAAATGACTAAAATGTAACCCACAGTGCAAATAATCCAACTTGACAATAACTCCCAACAACAGACTTAGTGGAGTTCAGCAGCTCTGTCAGTCTGTCCTGCTCCTGCTCTGGCTCCTCCCCCTTATCTTACCGCTGGCTGAATGGCAGCTCTGAGGTCACAGCCAGGGATGGAGTTCAGCTTGGTGATAGAGGATGTATTCTCACCATAGTCAGTGTGACCCAGTATGACAGGGGGCTGTTCATGTGTATTGTGTCCAACCCCATCAATAGTGACAACCAGACACTTAACATCAGCTGTGAGTCTCTAACCTTATATCTGCATGTCTACCTCTTCTTAATTATCTGCATTTCGATTGAGCCATTTAGGTCAACTCTGATAATGACCCTTCATGTAGTTAATGTAGTAATCTCATGATTAAGCTCCCTTTAAACGACACCTGCTTAGAAATAACAAGGCTTGATGCTTTGTTACTGAATATTTTGCTTTCAGTTTTAGATAAAGTCTATGGAGATATTTTCCCAGCTTCATATATCACTAATTAACATATCATGCTTTAGAAAGATGGTCTCATCATGTGGCAGGTCTCAATGGCCTTATTCGGTCATTTCATCCTTGTGCGTCATCACTATTTCATGTGCTGGTGGCGGATTGTTGGTTGCAAGTGATGGGATGCTGAAGCTAGGTACACACTAATATTAATAGCATGGACCCATAATGCACCCATAATATTGATAAAATGGCCCAATGGGTCTTTTGAACATGGTCTCTAGAAATTATCTCTGTAAATCACTGTTGCTCAACCTCCCCTCTTTCATGCTGGGCCCTTAATACCAGAACCCTGAGGTACCAGAGGAGACGGAGATGGAGACAGTCATGCAAGGAAGGAGAGTCACAGGCTCTGCGAAGCACCTCCACAAGGCGGAATGGAAACCCAACGCACCCTAATCACCTCCAGCACTCCTGCACCTCATCTCATCACTACCCCTATTTAGCCCTGGACTGTTCTGTAGGATGTTGTGTGTGATTGTTTTGCTTCATGTCATGTACTCTATCTTTGTTCATTCTCTTTGTCATTGTTTGAGTAAACCTTGACCTTGTTAATTTCTGCGTCCTGCCTCTTCGTATCCTCAGTACTCGTCACAGCATGCATGTGTTTATAAGTCGGTTATTAAAGAATGTGAAACAAGTCGTGTATGTTAACTATTTCCTGATTGTGTTCATGAGTCTGTTATGAAATGTGTATTCTTATTGCTTTTCAATAAATCATGTATGGCTACAAGTATTGTATATGCATTCCTTCATATGGGCAGTATATTGTAGCCTAAGCCTATATACATAATATGGGCAGAATGTATATACATTTGTTCATGTGGTTATATAAATGCTGAAGGCTAAAAACAGCCAATATCTATGTGTTTTCGTTTTATCTCGTTTTTACTCCATCCATTAACACCAACCATTCACTATAAAACCTTTATTTATCAACAAAAAGCTTAGCAAAATACAAAAAATGATGGGGCAAAAATAAGTAGGCCTAAAACATGTATTTCAAATAACCCAAAAAATATATACAAAAATAAGAGTAAGCCTTGTTATTGGCCTTGTGCATGATGTCATCAATAATAAGAATAATAAAGCCATTATTATGTTAAACAAGACATAGCCTATGGGAAACATTGACTTTCTTCGAATGCGTCCAACCTTCTCCCCTCTATTACACTGCTGCTACTCTCTGTTTATTATCTATGTATAGTCACTTTAATAACTCTACCTACATGTACATATTACCTCAATTACCTCGACTAACCGGTGCCCCCGCACATTGACTCGGTACCGGTACCCCCTGTATATAACCTCACAATTGTTATTTTACTGCTGCTCTTTAATTATTATTTTTTTATATATATTTTTTTTAGGTATTCTTTCTTAAAAACTGCATTGTTGGTTAAGGGCTTGTAAGTAAGCATTTCACTGTAAGGTCTACATCTGTTGTATTCGGCGCATGTGACAAATACCATTTTATTTTATTTTATTTGGAATCCATGTTACCTGAAGGTATGTCAGGAGCTCCTCCAGTTGATCACTAGCACGCTAGAGGCTGCTGCTGCCTATTGAAATCACTGTCCACTTTAAGAAATGGAACACTAGTCACTTTAATAATGTTTACATATCTTGCGTTACTCGTCTCATATGTATATACTGTATTCTATAATGTTCTACTGTCTCTTAGTCCATGCCGCTCTGTCATTGCTGTCCATATATGTAAACTCAGCAACAAAATAAAACTGTCAACTGCTTTTATTTTCAGCAAACTTGTGTAAATATTTGTACGAACATAACAAGATTCAACAACTGAGACATAAACTGAACAAGTTCCACAGACATGTGACTAACAGAATGTAATAATGTGTCCCTGAACGAAGGGGGTATCAAAATTAAAAGTAACATTCAGTATCTGGTGTGGCCACCAGCTGCATTAAGTACTGCTGTACATCTCCTCCTCATGGACTGCACCAGATTTGCCAGTTCTTGCTGTGAGATGTTACCCCACTCTTCCACCAAGGCACCTGCAAGTTCACTGACATTTCTGGGGGGAATGGCCCTAGCCCTCACCCTCCGATCCAACAGGTCCCAGACGTGCTCAATGGGATTGAGATCCGGGCTCTTTGCTGGCCATGGCAGAACACTGACATTCCTGTCTTGCAGGAAATCACACACAGAACGAGCAGTATGGCTGGTGGCATTGTCATGCTGGAGGGTCATGTCAGGATGAGCCTGCAGGAAGGGTACCACATGAGGGAGGAGGATATCTTCCCTGTAACACACAGATTTGAGATTGCCTGCAATAACAACAAGCTCAGTCCGATGATGCTGTTACACACCACCCCAGACCATGACGGTGTTGTTGCCGGTGATGTCTGGTGAGGACCTGCCTTACAACAGGCCTACAAGCCCTCTGTCCAGCCTCTCTCAGCCTATTGCGGACAGTCTGAGCACTGATGGAGGGATTGTGCATTCCTGGTGTAACTCGGGCAGTTGTTGTTGCCATCCTGTACCTGTCCCACAGGTGTGATGTTCGGATGTACCGATCCTGTGCGGATGTTGTTACACGTGGTCTGCCACTGCGAGGACGATCAGCTGTCCGTCCTGTCTCCCTGCAGCGCTGTCTTATTCATCTCACAGTACGGACATTGCAATGTATTGCCCTGGACACATCTGCAGTCCTCATGCCTCCTTGCAGCATGCCTAAGGCACGTTCACGCAGATGAGCAGGGACCCTGGGCATCTTTCTTTTGGTGTTTTTCAGAGTCAATAGAAAGGCCTCTTTAGTGTCCTAAGTTTTCATAACTGTGACCTTAATTGCCTACCGTCTGTAAGCTGTTAGTGTCTTAACGACCGTTCCACAGGTGCATGTTCATTAATTGTTTATGGTTAATTGAACAAGAAATGTATGGGGAAAGGCTGACATTTTATTTAAACATTGGATTTCTGTGCCTCGAATTTCATAATAATTTCAGTTTTCAGACGTTTTCCTTTGGTGTCTCTCCTCACTTGGAAAGCCTGCTACTCACTGATCTCAATACTAAAGCTGATAATTGTGAATTGATTGAATTGGAATGATGTGAATAATGAAAATGATGATGAGAGCTCAGTATAGCCTAACCCTTTAATCATAGGATATTGTTACTCTGTGTCTCTAAAATCACAATGTTAAAATTTCTATAGTCATTCGACAGTCTCTTTTATTTGAAACATCCAAATGTCGGCAGCAGATAATTTTTTTTTGCATTGAATGTTCTATTTTCGTAGCTGATCAGAATTCGATATGCTATAGACTATAGATAATATTCTGCCCATATGAACACATTTATTTTAGGCCATATATTTTTTTTTTAAATGCATGATTTTATGAAAGGCAGCAAACAGACACAACATTGTTTCACATTCTTTAATAAAATATTAATAAACAGGCAATGGGCTATACAGCTGGTATCACAGAACTACAGCCCTGAACCGTATGCCAATCTGAACCTAACAAAAGGCAAAAGGTCAGTTTGTGAACAGCTAAGATCCAGCACCCTCCCTCTGGCAATAGAGACGGGTAGATTTAACAGTCCCTGAAGATGAACGATTTTGTTTATTGTGTGATCTTGGGGAAATCAAAAATAAAATCCAATTTGTGTTATATTTCCCCATATATGATGATCGGAGAAGTTCTGTGTTGTGTTCATGCTCACCCTGAAGTGTTCTGGCTACATGACAAACACAGGCTATAATCTTTTTTTAGATATTGCCCAATTTATTTTCAAACCCTGGGGGAAAAGGAGAAGTTTATTGTTTGTACAATGTGACAAGGTGATTGATAGCTGTACTTTGTTATGGTGATTAACTATGCGTCTAATTAGGGTTTGACAGCAAAGCTATTGTTATTCTTCGATAATTTTTTCTTCCTTTCCCATGGTTAAATAACTTAAGCATTGATTGGAACCTCTTTTTTTGCACACAGAAACTAAAGGCCATGAGTAACTTGGTAAAAAAGAATGGCAGTGATTGGCATATAGGTGGAGCTGTTATAAACAGTCTCACTTAAACCGTCCTATCCACCGCCCCGTTTGACCTATAGACTTGAAACTTTGTATGTGTCACGTCTACTCCTGCTTCTCCCCTCCGGCGTGCGACGTCACCGGAATACTGACCACCGGTCCTGGGATTCATCATTACGCACACCTGGCATCCATCATTACGTGCACCTGCAGATCATTATGATTCACACCAGGACTCCATTACCTTCCTCATTACCTCCCCTTTATCTGTCCCTCCCTTACGTTTATTCCTCAGTCGGTATTGTTCCTGTGTTCATGCTACAGTGAGGGAATGAAGTATCTGATCCCCTGCTGATTTTGTACGTTTGCCCACTGTCATAGACATGATCAGTCTATAAATTTAATGGTAGGTTTATTTGAACAGTGAGAGACAGAATAACAACAAAAAAATCCAGAAAAACGCATGTCAAAAATGTTATCAATTGATTTGCATTTTAAAGAGGGAAATAAGTATTTGACCCCTCTGCAAAACATGACTTAGTACTTGGTGGCAAAACCCTTGTTGGCAATCACAGAGGTCAGACGTTTCTTGTAGTTGGCCACCAGGTTTACACACATCTCAGGAGGGATTTTGTTCCACTCCTCTTTGCAGATCTTCTCCAAGTCATTAAGGTTTCGAGGCTGACGTTTGGCAACTCGAACCTTCAGCTCCCTCCACAGATTTTATATGGGATTAAGGTCTGAAGACTGGCTAGGCCACTTCAGGACCTTAATGTACTTCTTCTTGAGCCACTCCTTTGTTGCCTTGGCCGTGTGTTTTGGGTCAATGTCATGCTGGAATACCCATCCACGACCGATTTTCAATGCCCTGGCTGAGGGAAGGAGGTTCTCACCCAAGATTTGACAGTACATGGCCCCGTCCATCGTCCCTTTGATGCGGTGAATTTGTCCTGTCCCCTTAGCAGAAAAACACCCCCAAAGCATAATGTTTCCACGTCCATGTTTGACGGTGGGGTGCTTGGGGTCATAAGCAGCATTCCTCCTCCTCCAAACACGGCAAGTTGAGTTGATGCCAAAGAGCTTGACTTTGGTCTCATCTGACCACAACACTTTCACCCAGTTCTCCTCTGAATCATTCAGATGTTCATTGGCAAACTTCAGACGGGCCTGTATATGTGCTTTCTTGAGCAGGGGGACCTTGCGGGCGCTGCAGGATTTCAGTCCTTCACGGCGTAGTGTGTTACCAATTGTTTTCTTGGTGACTATGGTCCCAGCTGCCTTGAGATCATTGACAAGATCCTCCTGTGTAGTTCTGGGCTGATTCCTCACCGTTCTCATGATCATTGCAACTCCACGAGGTGAGATCTTGCATGGAGCCCCAGGCCGAGGGAGATTGACAGTTATTTTGTGTTTCTTCCATTTGCGAATAATCGCACCAACTGTTGTCACCTTCTCACCAAGATGCTTGGCGATGGTCTTGTATCCCATTCCAGCCTTGTGTAGGTCTACAATCTTGTCCCTGACATCCTTGGAGAGCTCTTTGGTCTTGGCCATTGTGGAGAGTTTGGAATCTGATTGATTGATTGCTTCTGTGGACAGGTGTCTTTTATATAGGTAACAAGCTGAGATTAGGAGCACTCCCTTTAAGAGTGTGCTCCTAATCTCAGCTCGTTACCTGTATAAAAGACACCTGGGAGCCAGAAATCTTTTTGAGAAGGGGTCAAATACTTATTTCCCTCATTAAAATGCAAATCAATTTATAACATTTTTGAAATGCTTTTTTCTGGATTTATTTGTTGTTATTCTGTCTCTCACTGTTCAACTAAACCTACCATTAAAATTATAGACTGATCATTTCTTTGTCAGTGGGCAGGGGATCTAATAAACAAAATCAGCAGGGGATCTAATACTTTTTTCCTACACTGTATGTCGCCACTGTTACGCTGTCTCGTTTCATGTTTGTTGTTTTATTGAATGTTTCTCCTGCACCTGCATCTCGACTCAGTGTCATTGTTAAAGTATGTAGGTTTCTTTTCTCATGCTGAACAAATTTGCCCCAAAGACCCATACGGTGAGTCAAGATAGGTTTTCCTCCATCTTGGAAATTTTTGAAAACCTTTGAAAAACGTCTTCTCATGTAAACAGTATATGGACAAGGTATGCAGCAATCCATTGTTTGGTTTAGTTTCCCTGGCACTGTTTTAGCATTTGTGGCACAAATCCCATTTTTAGAAATTGGACCAATTTTAGCATTTTTTGCATATCATGATAAAATCATATATAAGGGACTTTGTTGCGCTTCAAATTAATTTTAGATACTTTCAGATGATTTGGACATGATGTGTGAAAAATGCTGATGAACCATAAGTCAGATTGACTCCAGATTTGGTATATAGACTCAATACATTTTCCTCTATAAAATGAAATGTTGCATTAAAAGTCGGCCATGCTACACCACTAAATGGCACCATATCACACCTGGGCAATAACAACTTAACCGATGGACATGAGGCCATGAAATTTGGTATGTAAACCTTAGAAGCTTTGTGAATATAAAGTCACTGCAACCTTAGATGGCTGCACCAGACCAGTTGGTGGCACTATAGATGTAATTTGCACCTATATACTAGAGCAAAATCTATTGATCAAGTGGACTTTGTCGCATACAAATTAATGTTAGATTTAAATTATGGAGAGGAACAATATGAAATATTGTGAAAATAACGCAGAAAATATTTCACAAAGCTTAACATAAACCATTAGTCAAATTGTCCCCAGAATTGGTATATAAACTCAATATATTAGGTAATGACTTTAAGAATGATTACCTGCTGCATTCAGCAACCTACAGCACTAGACATACTTCACTTGCATCATCCTTGTGGTATTGAGAGATAAACATGGTAATGTATCACTGGTTGCACATAAAGGAAGATAATGTAGTCCCTACATGATAGAGTGCTGGCTTTGTTATCCAACTGATCTTGTGTCCTTTCCGTCGTCCTGTGAACCCCATTATTTGCTGCTCACAGCTATATTTTGTAATTTTGTTTTGTGTTTTGTGCATATGTTCTTGTTTTAAAAGCCCATACCGGCTGGGCACCAATTGCTGAAATAAATTTTATTTATAAATAAATAAATCCATCAATACGTAGACCTAGTAAAGTATTTAATCTACACTGTAGTTCTTTGAGTAATACTGACACCTTGTGGTGTTGTATGGTCCCCTCTGCGTTTGGTTTGACTGTATTTGACTCCTCCCCTCACTGAGAACGCACACACTAAACCTTTCCATTCACAGGGGACATTTCGGGAAGGTAATATATAGTGTAAAGTGATACTTTAATTTCATTGAATAGCGTCCAAAATATTCTATGTTGACCAATATTATGTTTGATTTACTAAAGAATTGACCAAATTCAAACATTGAATTGAACATTGAAATGCTTGGGTTACCACTCTAAATGGAAAACAACACAGCTTCCTTATTTTTAACATCATAAAATATTCAAGTTTGGTCATATGTGTTATGACACAATAAGGCATTTCATCTTAACATCTATCCATATTATGCAAATTATTTTAGACAGGATGTACAGGGTTTGGTTTTGCTAACCGAAGACCCCTCTTATTTGACTTGATTGAATCAAAGCTATTGATACATCAGGAGAGATGGAAACAGCTACAGTTGTTTCTCTCACCATGGCAGTACTCTCAGGTAAGACTTTTAAAGTATTCACAGTAAGGCACAGAAACTTGGCTTTCAGAGACAGACAAAAGTCAAAAGAAGGGAAAAGGACAGAAGTGCAGGAGACATTATAAAAAGTTTTGTAGAAATGTTTAAAGATTTGACAGCCAAAGTTTATTTTGCTTACTGACGAATGTATAAATCACATATTAACACTTTCAATATAACCAATACTCGTCTCCAATTAAACCTATAGGGGTAGGAATTGTTCTTCAATATTGACCATTATGTACCAAACTTCAATAACATATGTACCATTTCAGTTATAATGTTCATTTTTCATGATACAGTACAACAAAGTTATAGAATACATTTTCCATGATACAGTACAATTGCATGACTATTACAGTTGGCATTTCATGAATTGCTATCAGTCTTGTTTGATAAATGTTTTATATATTTGCTAAGTGGCATACAGGATAAGATCACCCTCTGTATGACTTACTGTGTAACTGCAATTTGGTTCACAATATGATAATGAAAAAAAGGGGGGGAACATTGACATCCTTTTTAATACTGTGTAATATAGATAGGTTGATTGCTACTTAAATCTTTATTTGTCTCAGGTTTCTGTCATGGAGACTTGTTACCAGCCGGACCCCTGAATGGAGCGTTAGGAGAGAATATGACATTTAATGTAACCCTAAGCCCCCCAGAACCACCTAAAGCAGTCACCTGGAGTTTTGGTGTAAACATTATAATAATTCTATCTGGTGGCACTGAAACTGTATTTGGTGATTACAAAGGCAGGATCACCCTGTCTAGAACTACTGGATCTCTGGAGCTCAGGAATCTGTCCCTGGATGACAGTGGAGAATACACAGTGAATATTAATACTGCTGCAGATGTATCACTGAAAAAAACTAGACTGAAAGTATTTGGTAAGTACACTGTGTTGCTGTATTCCATACCCTTTCATTTCTCAGCATTCCTTAGCAGTCACATTGTACCTTTGATATGGAGTTTTTAATTCATAAGGTTTTCTTATGTAATTACTGTAACATGATACTGATACATCATCCTTAAAGTGATAGTTAGTGCCAAAGTTATACATTCTACCATTAGAAAAAAAGAGGTCAAACAAGGCCCTTTGACATCAAGTCAGAGTTTATTTGTCACATACACAGATTAGCAGATGTTAAAGCAGGTGCAGTGAAATGCTTGAGTTTCTAGCTCCAGACATGTATTGTCATTAAATTATTGATCAAAAGGAGTATAAGATCAGTAGACCAGACCACACAGTTCTCACAGATATTTTTCAGTTTTTCTTATCATCACTGATGAAGAGCATGTGTGTGTGTGAGGATTTTATTTTGACACCACTGAAAATGAAAATGATCGTAGAAGAAATAAGATCATGGTCAGCTTGTGATGAATCGCTCCCATTACATTACTGCCAAATGGTTTGAAATGGGCTGGACAGTTACTGGTTCCAACTACATTTAGTTACTACTGAGCACTTCTGCTGTACATGGTCTTCACTCTGAAATTCTCTATAATTGATGGAAGATGTTTTCAAATGAAGCCAAGCACTGTATTTGGCTTTGAATAACATTTAATTGTCTGCTTAGCAAAAACGAAGTTATTGGTTTTTTTTCTCTGATGTGATGCTAACTTCCAATGACAGTGACATATTAGTGGAGTTCAGCAGCTCTGTCAGTCTGTCATGCTCCTCCTCTGGCTCCTCCCCCTTCTCTTACCGCTGGCTGAATAGCAGCTCTGAGGTCACAGCCAGTGATGGAGTTCAGATTAGAGATGGGAACAGCACCCTCACCATAGTCAGAGTGACCCGGTATGACCAAGGGCCATACACGTGTATTGTGTCCAACCCCATCAGCAGTGTCCCCAGCCAGAATCTAACCCTCACCATCAGCTGTGAGTCTCTAACCTGCATGTCTTATAACTTTCTTAGTTTACTGCTTGTGGATGAACCCATTCATATAACCTTTGTTTACAGTGTAGTTCATGTATTCATCTTCATAGTGCTTCTTGCAGAGCCTGCTAGTGTACACTTCATCTGCTAAGAAATAACAAGACTCAACATCATATAAATACACCCACTACAATATATTCTGGTATTGAACATGGTGCTTTAACTTTATATCAAGTCTAACGAGATATTATCCCTGTTCTATATGGCACTAACTTATTATGCTTTGGAGTAGCGTTGTCGTCCTGTGGCTTACATTTCTACTGAATCAAGCCTGTTTTGGTGGATGATTGCTGGTGATGGAATAACTAAACTAGATAGATGCATTCTAATGTTGATAACATTGATATAACGTGGATGGGTCATTTCAACATGGTGTAGATTATTGCTGTTTTGGTTGACATACCTTCATAAATGCTGGAGTTTGACAAGGACCATGCATTACAGATGGGCCAGATAGAACCACAATGAACATCACCCCTCCAGAGTCCTTTGTAATGTCTTCAAGTACACTTTTTATTTTCCTTCCATTTTGTACAAACATTTGGACAGCTAGCCTGTTCTATATGTAGCAGAGAAGAGTCTCATTCAATAGAGACAGTGTCTATGACACATGAGAAGAGAGACCTATGAGTGGCATGTGAGACTACAAAGCAGATGACATTGGATTATTAGCTGATACTGTGCACTGTACTGTATATGTGAGGACCAAAGCCCCATATAATACCCACCACTGTGACCTGTACGCTCTTGTTGGCTGGTCCTCACTACATATTCGTCGCCAAACCCACTGGCTCCAGGCCATCTATAAATCACTGCTAGGCAAATCCCCGCCTTATCTTAGCTCATTGGTCACCATAGCAACACCCACCCGTAGTCTGCGCTCCAGCGGGTATATCTCACTGGTCATCCCCAAAGCCAACACCTCCTTTGGCCGAAATTCCTTCCAGTTCTCTGCTGCCAATGACTGGAACAAATTGCAAAAATCTCTGAAGCTGGAGACACTTATCTCCCTCACTAACTTTAAGCATCAGTTGTCAGAGCACCTTACCGATCACTGCACCTGTACACAGCCCATCTGAAATTAGCCCGCCCAACTACCTCATCCCTATATTGTTATTTATTTTGCTCATTTGTACCCCAGTATCTCTATGTGCACATCATCTCTTGCACATCATTCCAGTGTTAATACTAAATTGTAATTATTTTGCACTATAGCCTATTTTATTGCCTTACCTCCATAACTTGCTAAATTTGCACACTGTATATTATATGTATTTCTGTTGTATTTTTTACTTTGTTTTGTTTTACCCCATATGTAACTCTGTGTTGTTGTTTTTATCGCACTGCTTTGCTTTATCTTGGCCAGGTCGCAGTTGTAAATGAGAACTTGTTCTCAACTGGTTTACCTGGTTAAATAAAGGTGAAATAAAAATAAATAAAATAAAATATTGGCAAATACAAGTATAGCGTTGGTTGTCAGGATTTTGTGGCTGTCTCTTAGAAGGACAGTCTCTGGTGGAACATTCTAGAGTTTAGAAGGTCATGCAGTGAGGAAAGAGTAAACCACAATGCATTATGTAATTGAACTTTAATCATTCAATGGCCTTGTAAATATTGTCCATCTTTACAGAAAAATGATTAAGATGCTGTATGGGCAAAGTAGTATTTTTGCAGTATGATTTTCTTTCTGTCAAGTGTCGACACCTATTATATAAGTAACTAATAATTTTTCATGCACAAACTTTACCATGTTGCTTGTCATTGTTCATTTCACGTGATTATGATTAATATAACCATCATTTTTACTTCTTTCACAGAAATAATATCTAATGTTGACATCCCTTATCCAACAAACCTGCCAATCATGGAGGGGAACTCTGTCACCTTAACCTGTGATGCTTCTGGCTCCATCAATACCAGAGAGTGGATGAAGGCTGGTCAGCCTCTGTCTCCTAGTGACAATATTTTATTCTCTGAGGATAATAAGACAGCATCTATCAACCCTGTGAAGAGAACCGACAGTGGGATTTACATGTGTCGAGTCAGCAACCCTATCAACTCTGATAATGTCAATTATAATCTGACTGTAAACTGTAAGTACTCTGCTATTAGCCTGGGGTTATGTCTATACACCATTTCTGTGTTTTAACTCCTTTTGTATTCAAATCTGACAAATGTAAATGCTTAGAGAAGATATAGTGTTCATTCTATTATAAAACGGGCCGTTTGGATCCTGGATGCTGATGGGCTGAAACAGCATTCCAGCCATGTGTATATCAGACAATATACCACGGCTATACATTTGCAGTGTATTAAACAGAATACATAATTTATGAATGAGACTCATTAAGACGCATTAACCATCCTGACCCCAACATCATGCTGATTACAAACACATGGCTACCTTATATTGGAACTGGTGATATGTGTTACAGATGGACCTGATGGTATAGAAATCAAGGGTCCAACTGAAATAGAAGTAGGACAGAAGTTTACATTGACCTGCTCTGCTGACTCCATACCGACAGCTAGTTACACCTGGATGCACAATGGGACAAAGATACCTGGACATTCACCTGAGCTCATTTAAGGGAAGAGTGAATACTTTGACAGTGGGAATTACACCTTTACAGCAACAAATTATGTCACTGGGAACAACACATCTGCGGTCCATGAACTATCAGTAAAAGGTAAAGTTGGCAGAAGCTTTTAAGACAATATGAACATAGTAGGTGTCTTTATTGTATTGTAACTGTCACCCAGATGCATTGTAATGTGCAGTACTGATTGTTCGTTGTGTGTAGCCTTTCTCTAATCTCTGTATGGTTCTCTCTCTGGTCTCTGCAGCGGAGGGCTCTCTAACTCCAGGACTGTCTGCTGGTGCCATCACTGGGATTGTGATTGCAGTATTGATGGTTGTGGGAGTGGCGGTTGGTGTTGCAGTGTTCTTCATCAAGAAAAATGGGTGAGTTAAGAAACTTATCATAAAGATGGAACCTAGACATTTTCATATGTTAATATTTGTAAACTTATTTAAAATTTATTTTCATTTCATTTAAAAAGTGTATTTTCTATCACTGCAGGTAGTGGAAAATATAGACTCTATTTTCACATTGATCAAAGTTGGTCACTAAGAGGGCCTGGGTTTATTTTAAAAAGCTGTTAATAAAAACACTGTAGCATTATATTCTTACAACTTTCTAAACAGCAACCTTTCAATTTGTATTTCTTGTTGTATATAGAACCAATGCTGACCCAATACATCGAAGAGGTAAGCATATATCTATCTTAAAGGCCGTCATAATTAATCATGTCTTTCAAAGCTTTGCTTACTCCACATTTACATTCATATTTTAGTCATTTAGCAAATGCTCATATCCAGAGCGACTTACAGTTTCCACAAAGAACTGAAATGGAATCAGACAGCAGAAAAACACCATTATATAAAACAAGCATATATTTTGGGTTCTGATGGGGTACAACAGTTGAACTAAACTCATGAGGCATTTATAAGTAATATTCTTCAAGAATCAATGGGTACGTATCATTAAATTATAAATCAAAAAATGGATGTAGCATCGGCTGATTGTCCCATTAATCCTGTAACAATGCTTATGCAGACAAGATAGCAGCATTTATACAACCCCCTCTATTTGTGCATCTCCTACAGGCTCTAAACAACCTGCATATGAGAACCCATCACCTGTGTATGAGAACCCATCACCTGTGTATGAGAACACAAGACAAAATACATCTCCACCTCTACCCCTGACAGTAAGTAAGCCCTGGTCACCTGGGATGTCTGTGCACGTCTGTATTCTACTACAGTCTTACTGTAATAAACAAGATCAATTTGCTTAACAAGAAAAAGTTATGTATGCAAAGACTGTTTGCCAATGACAGCTATTCAGTCTCTGGCCTATTTAAGTTATTCATTAACATATGATCGCTGTAAAAATACTTTGAAGTTTCATATTTTGTCATGGCAACTATTGGAGTGGCTGTTGACTTCTATGTAATACCTTTTTTTAATTCAAGCTTTATCCCAAATAATGAACTGCAGGACTTCAAGAGTACCTATGATACTAGGATAAAGGTACGTTTGTGCTAGACCACATGGCACCATGTGACTGTAAGTATGTGTCTGTGCATGTCTGTATTCTATTACAGTCTTACTTAACAGGATGCACAGTGTAAAAAAATACTGTATGCAAAGTCTGCTTGCCTATGATAGTGTAATGCAGGCAGTTTCGGTTTTTTACTCAATGCCGTTATCAGTGTCTGGCCTATTCAGGTTATTCATTAACATATGACAGCTGTAAAAGCTTAAGATTTGGTTTAGATTTTTTGTCATGACAACTGTTGGTGTGGCTGTTGCCTTCTATCTAATGCAATTTTGTATTAATTTAATTTATCCCAAATGATGAAATGCAGGATTTCAACAATACCTATGATACTAGGATAAAGGTAAGTTTGCGTCAGACCACACGGCACCATGTGACTGTAATACTGTAAAAACAATTGATTTATGTGTTATATGTTCAATGAAATTCATGCCGTATTATAGCTGATAAATGGAAGTTAAAGTTCCTGTCTTTTCTCCCTCACCTTAAATCTAACAGTAAAAGAAGTCAATGGAAAATACCTCCATTCAACCACCATTCTCCAGTTCCATCATCAACACATATAAAACCTGCATGATAACACCCAGTGTGGATCTGTAATATAATGTACATAATCAATACATTTATCTTATGTTTGATCGTCTGCTTTACTTTATTCATATTGAAAACCAAAACCTTGTTAAAAAAGTAGATAACAACGATAATGTAACTGATCAAAGCATGTGGAGGATGTAATGTTAACAATATCATGTAAATAGTCAAGTATTTACAGAACACTGTATTGTGAAGTGTGGAGCCAAAAAGGCAACGAAGCTGGAGTACTTTATTGCTATATAAATGACGTAAAAATAGACTTAATTATAAAGATTACTTTTCTCCATCAACTTTGTTGTTCTTTGTGTCAAGTGTGACCAGTAATATGTTGATGTGACCTGATGACATTCAGTTAATTAATTAATTCAAAGCTGGGTGTTGGTTCTACAGTGAGGTCAGTTTTAGAGAAGGAGTTTAAAGCACATGTGTTTATTATATAGAATACATCATCTCAAATGAATATAAATTGTACATAATTTACCATTTGGGAATACCCCAAGACCAAAGTCCACTATGTTTATCAGTCAAAGCCTGCAAAGCAATAGAGGGCAACATCGTTATCATGCTCAGTAAAGGTAAAACCCCACACAGCTTCCTTATTAGTGTTAGTGGAGGTGGAGTTTGTGTTCCAGAAGTGAAGTATTGTCATTTGTTCCTCCATTCAGTGATGTAACTCATGAATGCATGTAACATTTCTTCCTCATATCAGGTGTTATTTTATAACACTCTTATTGTAGCCTTGTCTTCTATATTTATTTGTGGAAGAGATGGAAGACGCAGCATTAATTTCTCTCACCATTGCAATACTCTCAGGAGCGATTTAAAGGGGCAAACTGCAGTTGAAACAATAACAAAGCACAATCCCCGCCCCTATTTTGATAAAAAGCTGAGGGATAGCGCTGGAGAAATGCAACTACTCTGAAATTCCTAAACAGAGCTATGGACGCAAGGACTGACCATCCATGATATCAAAACGATATCTTTAGGATATATAGTGTTTAGGTACATTTACTTTGTTTACAAACATTGGAGTAAAACATGCTTTTGGGTTCTGATGAGGTACAACAGTTGAACTAAGCTCATGATGCATTTATAAGTTATATTCTTCAAGAATCAATAGATACATATCATTAATTTATAAGTCCAAAAATAGATGTAGCAACTAAGAATTCTAGCTGTATATGAAGATGCACAAATGTATGTAAAATAGCCAATGTCTGTCCAGTGAGCCTAGTCTGGTTGTTGACCTTTCACCATGTAGTTCCTGTAGTCATCTTGATAGTACTTCCTGTAGTGCCTGCCTGCTACTGGAAGCTTCATCTGCTTAGAAATAACAAGATTCAATACCATATAACCCATCATAACTGGGTGGTTCAAGCCTTGGAATGCTGATTGGCTGTCACCCGTGGAATATCAGACTGTATACCACAGGTATGACAAAACATTTATTTTTACTGCTCTAATTAAGTTGGTAACCAGTTTATAATAACAATAAGGCACCTCGGGGGTTTGTGGTATATGGGCAATATACCATGGCTAAGGGCTGTATCCAGGAACTCCATGTTGCATCGTCCCTAAGAACAGCCCTCAGCCGTGGTATATTTGCCATATATCAAAAACCCCCGAGGTGCCTTAATGCTTAATTATACTCTGGTATTGGATATGGTTCTGTCATTAATTTGCTTTGGAATAGTTGTTTTCTTCATGTGGATTACATTTCTAATGAATCAAGCCTACCTACAGTTGATGGCAGATGCTGGTGAGGGGGTAAATCAACTAGATCCACACTGAGTATACAAAACATTAAGAACACTTGCTCTTTCCATGACATAGACTGACCAGGTGAATCCAGGTGAAAGCTATGATCCCTTATTGATGTCACTTGTTATATCCACTTCAGTCAGTGTAAATCAAATCGAATCAAGTCAAGCTTTATTTATACAGCACATATCAGACATAGAATGCAACGCAATGTTCTTTACATATTTTTTTTTTTTTTAAACTATGAAAATAAAAAACAAAAGAACGACACAAACTGAACAACTAAAAAGCACCCTAAGGAAAAGCTAAGCTAAATACAGTGGGGAAAATAAGTATTTAGTCAGCCACCAATTGTGCAAGTTCTCCCACTTAAAAAGATGACAGAGGCCTGTAATTTTCATCATAGGTACACGTCAGCTATGACAGACAAATTCAGAAAATAAAATCCAGAAAATCACATTGTAGGATTTTTAATGAATTTATTTGCAAATTATGGTGGAAAATAAGTATTTGGTCACCTACAAACAAGCAAGATTTCTGGCTCTCACAGACCTGTAACTTCTTCTTTAACAGGCTCCTCTGTCCTCCACCCGTTACCTGTATTAATGGCACCTGTTTGAACTTGTTATCAGTATAAAAGACACCTGTCCACAACCTCAAACAGTCACACTCCAAACTCCACTATGGCCAAGACCAAAGAGCTGTCAAAGGACACCAGAAACAAAATTGTAGACCTGCACGAGGCTGGGAAGACTGAATCTGCAATTGGTAAGCAGCTTGGTTTGAAGAAATCAACTGTGGGAGCAATTATTAGGAAATGGAAGACACTGATAATGTCCCTCGATCTGGGGCTCCACGCAAGATCTCACCCCGTGGGGTCAAAATGATCACAAGAACGGTGAGCAAAAATCCCAGAACCACACGGGGGGACCTAGTGAATGACCTGCAGAGAGCTGGGACCAAAGTAACAAAGCCTACCATCAGTAACACACTACGCCGCCAGGGACTCAAATCCTGCAGTGTCAGACGTGTCCCCCTGCTTAAGCCAGTACATGTCCAGGCCCATCTGAAGTTTGCTAGAGTGCATTTGGATGATCCAGAAGAGGATTGGGAGAATGTCATATGGTCAGATGAAACCAAAATATAACTCTTTGGTAAAAACTAAACTCGTCGTGTTTGGAGGACAAAGAATGCTGAGTTGCATCCAAAGAACACCATACCTACTGTGAAGCATGGGGGTGGAAACATCATGCTTTGGGGCTGTTTTTCTGCAAAGGGACCAGGACGACTGATCCGTGTAAAGGAAAGAATGAATGGGGCCATGTATCGTGAGATTTTGAGTGAAAACCTCCTTCCATCAGCAAGGGCAATGAAGATGAAACGTGGCTGGGTCTTTCAGCATGACATTGATCCCAAACACACCGCCCGGGCAACGAAGGAGTGGCTTCATAAGAAGCATTTCAAGGTCCTGGAGTGGCCTAGCCAGTCTCCAGGTCTCAACCCCATAGAAAATCTTTGGAGGGAGTTGAAAGTCCGTGTTGCCCAGCGACAGCCCCAAAATATCACTGCTCTAGAGGAGATCTGCATGGAGGAATGGGCCAAAATACCAGCAACAGTGTGTGAAAACCTTGTGAAGACTTACAGAAAACGTTTGACCTGTGTCATTGCCAACAAAGGGTATATAACAAAGTATTGAGAAACTTTTGTTATTGACCAAATACTTATTTTCCACCATAATTTGCAAATAAATTCATAAAAAATCCTACAATGTGATTTTCAGGATTTTTTTCCTCATTTTGTCTGTCATAGTTGACGTGTACCTATGATGAAAATTACAGGCCTCTCTCATCTTTTTAAGTGGGAGAACTTGCACAATTGGTGGCTGACTAAATACTTTTTTCCCCCACTATATATGTGTTTTAAGATCTCTTTTAAATACAGTATGTCCTCTGTTTCAGCCCCCCGCAGGTTCTCTGGCAGGCTATTCCAGAAGCTGGGGGCATAATAACTATATGCTGCCTCTCCATGCCTCTTGGTCCTAGGCTTTGGGATAGTTAAAAGGCCAGTACCAGAGGACCTAAGGGACCTACTGGGTACATAACTTAAAAGCATGTCTGACATGTATTGGGGTGCACAATCATGGATTGATTTAAAAACCAATAGAATAATCTTAAAATTAATTCTAAAACTCATAGGCAGCCAGTGTAGATGTAGGGGAGGAGCCTTGAGAAAACTGAGACATGGATTGTGTATGTGTGCCATTCAGAGGGGGAATGTGCAAGACAAAAGATTTAAGAGCCTTTGAACAGGGTATGGTAGCAGGTTCCAGGTGCACCGGTTTGTGCCAAGAACTGCAAAGGGGGGGTGGGGGGGGGGGGGGTTAACTCAATATTAGGAAGCTGTTCCTAATGTTTGGTACAGTGGTTCTTCATTTAAAAGTTGCGTCATACTGCAGTGTGCTGCAGAATGGTATGGCATGTTGGAGTGCATAACATCATAGTATTTTACTGTCACCCATTGTTGCCATTAATGCTAGTTTGACCACCTGAGGGCATCTTTGAGAAGCAACATTCTTGAAATGTCATGGAGCTGTAGGCCTAAGAGTCCTGTTTAC